GGGTCTGGTTTATTCTGTTCGCAGGATTCTGGACTCCCGACCTCGTGGCAGGGGCATCCAGTACCTCTTTGACTGGGAGGGGTACGGTCCAGAGGAGCGTTCCTGGGTTCCACGCTCCTTTATTGAAGATCCGTCCCTCATCCGGGACTTCGAGGAGGCATCTGCCAGGACGCCAGGAGGCGTCAGTTGGGGGGGGGGTACTGTCATGAGTCGGGGTGAGTACTCCCGTCGCACATTCCATCTTTTTGAGTTGTTTTTCAGGAGAGAGAGGCGCCCAGCTGCTTCTGGTTAGCAGTCAACGGCACTGGCTTCTTAAGGAGTTGGAGAACACACCTCGACGCGGGATGATTACTACTACCCGGTAGATTCCAGCCTCATAGTGCGTTGTTTTCTTGAGCCTCTAGTGATTTTTCTGGATTTATATGCTTTGTGATTTTTATGCTCACACCTGCTTCATGAATTTTGGAGAATCCCTGTTGAAGGAACTCTCTGGATTCTCTAAACTCGTCAGGATACTCACCGCCCCTACATAACCTTCTGGACGCAGCTTCCCAGTGTTCTCCATCTCTCCAGTCGCTCCACTCCTCTGCTTCCCACACGCTTCCTCTCCTGGATATACACACCTCGACTCACCCAACTCTCGACCTGCCCCTCCCTATTCCGCCTCATCTCCTTTCTCCAGTAAGTCTTATCTCTGCACCTCCCTCCTCAGTTAAGACTTACTTCTCAGGGCTCACCTTATTTTGCTCTCCCCTCCTCAGACGCTGAGTACGGACTTTACTCCATCCCCTGGAAGCTACAGTGCGCTTTTTGTTCCTGTTTATTAATAAATTCCTTATTTTGATCATTATTATATGTGAGTGTGTTGATTATGCATGTCCTGGGTTACACTCCTTCCCCAGACCATGTCAGATGTATCTTTCAGAATAAGAAAATCATTTGACTTTTGAGTAAACATACTTCTGCATTAACATTTAAATGGTGTACAGCAGAATTTTATTACTCATTATTATTCATGGTATGTGAACATCTCAGCTCTGATTGGTTAATGCAAGTGTGACTCTTATGCTGTCTTCCTTCACTCTTCTTATGGGTAAAAATTCAACAATGATGCGTTTTCACCACAAACAACACACGCTAGAACATGCTCCGCCATGTTGTGGAGTTGCTAATGCTAACGGTTAGCTTCTACTATCCCTGATGCACTCGGCTCTTCCCTGGCTGCTATATCAACCATCGACATATATACTGGACAATTCATTTCCATAGGCTCAAATAACACGTTTTTGAGGCTAAATGGGAGGTGGCCAACACCGCCATTTTGACCGTGTCACAGGTTCCGTCAAGCCCAGACAATTCCACAAAAGGGAAGAGAGGTGGAGCTGAGGGTGGGGCTGTAAGGCTGGGATCAACTGACGACACCCGGTCAAACTAGCTACAAGCTAACCTGAAGCTAACCCAAAGCTAACGCAGAGGTGGGAGCTAAGCTAAAGGAGGTAGCAACCTAGCTACAACCGTAGTTAACTGTGCACAACACCAGAGCTTCTGAGTCAAAGATACGCTGGGCTGACCGCTGGGTAAAACCAGGTGGAACACAGAGTTCTCCCGAAAGCTCCTGAAAGCCGGGAGCTCGTGCAGCAGACAGAAGCTGCGATCAGACAGAGATGCGCCGAGCTGCGTGGAGGGGAGAAACGGGTGGAAAACATCGGTCTCCCGAGAGCTCCACAAGCCGATAGTGGGAACCCAGCTCCACCAACATGTTATATTTCAACCCATTTTCTAAAGTGCAGCATTGTGTTAAATGCACTGGGTTTTACCCTATTACATTTAAATTTCATGGTTAAACAGTACATGTTAAAATCTAAGCTCAGCTCGGCAGTGACCTAAAATACATAAATATAATTTTACTTACCGAAAAAAAATGAACTGGAGACTTCTTGGATGTTTTATTAGTGCAATCAATGCCACAGCAAGTCATTTTGTCCAACAATTGCACAAATAATATCCAAAAAAGAATACACAATCACAGACTCAGAATCCCGGAGCAGTTTCCAAGCCAGACCGAGGCTCTACTGAGGCCTTTCCACGGAGCTAGCGCTGTGGTCACGTGGGTCTGATGCTCATTAATTATACAGAATTTTAGGCTTTTAATACACTTAAACAGATGAGTGAGAAAAAAATTCAACCCCCTCAGAGTTGTCATGAGTGTAAACTAGATCATTTAACCCAAAAACATGTTTTGGTACCAGGCTGTAAACATGTTTATTTCTGCTGTGAAATTTGTATTTTTAACATGGGAGTCAATGAGGATTTGCTCGCTTCTGACACCAGCCCCTAGTGGATGAGGGAGGAACTGCAATTGTTGGTACTTCCAGGTTGGGCTCAATTTTTGAGCCGCATTGTGGGGGCTTGCTATCAACACAGCTTTCTGCGGTCGCAAGCCAAGTTTAGTGAGTCCATGAATGCCAGTTTTCCCCTGTCACTTATAAGGAATCAAACCACTGATTTGATTTAGATTTCTCTTTTGTTCATTCACTGCTTTTTGTTGATTGATTGAAATAAATGATTAACACTTTTATTTCTGAATGCTTCTTATGTTCACATCATTTTTCCACACCTGCCTAAAACTATTCAGATTTGGTTAAGTCATGTGGCCCACCTTATATGCAAACATTTTCTCTGATAAAACTCAATAAAACTTAATTTCCTACCATGGATGTCATATTAAACTTCCCACTGAGAGGGTTTTAGGGATTCAGTCCATGAAATGTCCAGAGAGGAGACGGAACAGGAAAACATGCATGCTTTCTAAATGAACCTGAGATCCTTTTCCCCTGCTGGTGGACGTCACAACTGTCAAACCTGTGCCAACTGCCTCAGGGTACTGGAGCAGGCACTTTGATATGAGAAAGCTGACAAATTCCCATCGCCGTGTCTTATACCTCAGTCTTCTTAAGCATGCTACTGCAGTGTCTCATATGTACTTCATGTAACCACTTACAAAGATTCATGTGTTCATCAAATTTTAACATGTGAACAAAAGCATGACAAAACTGCACTTCTGAACCCTTTGATTGATCCCTTGGGAATTACATCAACTTGAGGGAAAAATGGAGTCATAAAACTGACTTAAATTAAATTAAAAGCATGAAGACAGTTTGAGTTTTGACAAAAAAAGTCGCTTTTAGTGGCTCTTTAAAACGTTCCCACTCAAGCTGAGCACAACATTCGGCTAAAGTTTGATCTTTTTTACAATTAAAAAAGAAAGGAAGCTGATTTATAACAGAAAAAGTGCCAACAAGTGAACACTAAATTTAAGAAAGACTTTGCTTTAATTTACTAAAAAATATTGAACAACAGTCTGCAACTTCTTACAAATTACGGATTATTTCCTCTAAACTGAATTGAAGGAGGCAAGTGCTATTCAATTAAAATGATCACATTAACGAGTACAATTATTCAATATTAAAGATACATATTTAAGTGTTTTAAAGTTACAAATAGCGTTTAGCCAATGGATTGAGCTGATTAGCAACGCAAAGTTTGATCTCAATCTATTTTCCAGGAAAGGCAGAAGGGCCTACTGCCTTTACTAGAAAGGCATTAATATATGCATTGCATTACATTATAGGCATTACTGTAGCCTACTGAGTAAGCTACAGTAATGTAGGAGCAATGAGATACGAACTGTCTGAAGCAAAAATAAAAATGATTATTTTGCAGCTGAGGCAGCCAAATTAGATTTTAAAGTCAATGCCGAAGATTAATCTGGTTTTCATGGCTGAAATGTTTATGTTCTAATAGATTTATTTGTTTTTACTTCAACCAATAAACTCAAACTAGCAAGAATGCTATCAACAAGACTGATTTAATTAAAAAAAAAACATCTCTGGTCCTTTCATTTGAGATCACTGTGACTGCTCAATCCACAGCAATCAGTTCAGCTTCCATAAATAATAGTTCTTGTTCTTCTATAGAGTCATGGAGAGATGATGCCAAGAGTGAAAAGATGAGCGATGAGGTTCACCTGGTCAGGTAACCAATCCATCGCACGGTCAAACAAACACTCACTGAGGGACTCCATAGCATGCTACTTTATTTATAGAGCACTTTTAGCACGGCTTTACAACCAACCAAAGTGCTGCACATAATAAATAAAGCACAGGCACACAGGTAAAAAAAAACAATTAAAAAAAACAACTAAGTAAAGCCAAACAAACAGAGTGGAACCACAATATACTGAACCACATATTTACTATTGAACATCCAAGGTGGAAAGGACAGAGGATTACAATGTGTGACTACATGCTTTATGGTTTCGGAGTGAAAGGCCGATGATTTAAAAATGGCAACAGAAGGCGCTTGTTTTGGGGCACAGATAGAAAAAGCCCTTTCTCCCGAGGGAGTCTCTAACCAAACTTACATTTTACAGGCAGCAGGCAAACAGGAGGACCCAGAGAAAATCCTTACATGCATCAGGCAGAACATGCTAACTCCATGCTGAATAGTCCCGGGTGGGATTTCATTCTGCAACCTTCTTGCAGTGTGGCAACATAAGAACTGAGCAAAATTTGGCTTATTTCACTCATGAATTTTTGTGTCTACTAGGCTTTTTCCAATCAAATGCAGCATGGTTCTATGTGCAGCGAATGGCTGAAGCTGATTTCAAATTCAGACCTAATCGTGGGTTAGGGTTAGGGTTAGGGTTAGGACCGAAAGCAGTTTAGGTAGCATATCTTTCATACTCAACCTGTTGAAAGGGGGATTTTCTGCCTCTTGGTTATTTAAGGCTGTTTTTTTCATAGTTTTAATGTACTCCAAAACAGTGTTACCAACTACCTTGGAAAAGTAATCTGATTACTTATTAATCCTTTAAAATTAACAAAGTTAGATTATACATTAATTTTTAGTTACATTTAGCAGCTGCCACACACACACACACACACACACACACACACACACACACACACACGCACAGGCACACACACACACACACATGCACAGGCACACACAAATAACTTGACAACTTGTTTACTAATACTCACTTTACTGGAAGTGCATTTGAACAGTAAAATCAACAATGCATCTCCTAAAAATGTAGTTTCAACTTAAAGACTACTTCCTGAGCAGAAAATGGATACAATTTAAGAAGGACAGTTGTGGTGAGACTCCAAATACAGTGGGATGTGAACGTTTGGGCAGCCTTGTTAATCTTCATTATATTCCTGTATAAGGTGTTGGTTGTTACGATAAAACGTTTCAGTTAAAAATATCATTAGGAGGCACACACAGTAACAGTTGAGAAGTGAAACAAAGTTTATAGGTTTGCAAAAAGTGTGCAATACTTGTTTGAACTAAATTAGGCAAAATGAATGAACTAAAAATCTAGTAGATCCTCCTTTTGCAGAAATAACAGCCTCTAACGCTTCCTATAGCTTCCAATGAGCGTCTGGATTCTGGTTGAAGGTATTTTGGACCATTCTTTCGAAAACCTCTCTAGTTCATTCAGGTTTGGTGGCTTTTGAGCATGGGCAGCTCTCTTGAACTCACACCACAGATTTTCAATAATCTTCAGGTCTGCGGATTGAGATGGCCATTCCAGAATGTTCTACTTGTTCCTCTGCACGAATACCTTAGTAGATGTTGAGCAGTGTTTAGAGTGGTTGTCTTGTTGAAAGAGCCAGCCACATTGGTCTCCGGAATCTGCTGATCTTGAGATGAATCCATGCATCCCGTAACTTTAACAAGATTCCCAGTCCCTGCACTGGCCACACAGCCCACAGCATGATGGAACCACCACCATGTTTTACTGTAGGTAGCAGGCGTTTTTCTTGGAATGCTATGTTCTTTTTCCTCCATGCATAACGCCCCTTGTTATGCCCAAATAACTCTGTTTTAGTTTCATCAGTCCACAGCACCTTATTCCATAATGAAGCTGGCTTGTCCAATTGCTCTTTAGCAAACCTCAAACAGCTCTGTTTGTTCTGTGGGTGGAGAAAAGACTTCCTCTGCATCACTCTCACATGCAGCATCTCCTTGTGTGAAGTGTGCCAAAGGTCAAGGGTCACTGAGCTTACTAAACCAATTTCAAGTTCCAATAATTAGTTCTAAAGGTGTTGGAATCAATAAAATGACAACAGTGCCCAAATGTATGCACCTGTCTAATTTAGTTTAAACAATTATTGCACACTTTCTGTAAATCCTATGAACTTGTTTTCACTTCTCAAATATCACTGTGTGTGTCTCCTAATGATATATTTCACTGACATTTTTTATCGTTAACGATTTAAAAATCACGAAGATTTGCTAGGCTGCCCAAACTTTGACATAGTGTTTCTGAAGCTCTCAACAGCACAGAGTTAAAACGGACTCATCTTTAGCTGAAACATTGTCCTCCCCTCTTCATTGTTGTTTATGTTTGTGTTACTGGCTGCTTGGTTTACACGTGAGCTGTCCTCGTGCTGAAAATGTGACTTGTTACATGCGTGACACCAAGACTCAACAGCGAAGCAAATGTATCTTTTTACTAAAGAAATGGCAAAAATATCAACACAGTAACTTGGATAAGTGACTTTAATCAGAAAACTGGTTTGGAAATAGTAATGCATTCGTTTTCTGGAAAACGTGGTCCTAGAGTAATGTTACTTCTATCAGTGCGCCCCAGGGCAGCTGTAGCTACACTGTAGCTCATCAACACCAGCGTGTGAATGTTTGTGTGCATGGTTGGATGACTGATTGTGTTGCGAAGTGCCTTGGGGGGGTTGTGGAACCCTAGAAGGCACTATACAAATACAAATTTGCCATTTACTAAGAAACACAATCCCAGCATCACTCGTGAAGATTACAGGATGCCTATTAATTTATTTAAAACAAAAATCATTTTAATCAAGTTTTCAGGAGCTTGAATGTCTTATTATACTGTTATTTGTATTTACATCATATACAACAGTCATAGTGACTCATGGTAACAAATACTGCAGAGTATCCGAGGATACTTACTTCCAACAAGCATGAACAGGGTTATGGGCTCGACACACGGGAGGCGACAAATGACCGCGATCAGCGAAATTTGTCGCCGTCGCTTTTATTACCCGACACACGGGAGGCGATCCGCGGCAGCGGCCAGCGGCAAAGCCGTCTACGCGTTCTGTTCCATGGCGAAATCTAAACTTCCGTTGTTTTGCTTGGCTGTGTCAGGTTGGAGGGAATTAAGGTTATTTAAGCGGTTCAGAGTTAATAAAGCGGTAGATATGATGTTTCACAAGGTGCTGCTAGAGTTATGTGAAATCTTACTTCTGATTTTACTATATAAAACATAATAATCAACTTCTCCTCCATGTTTGCTCGGAGATGTACGGAGCATCCTGTCCGCTCATTGGTCAGTGAATGAAACCTCCGTTGATTGGTCCTCGTCCGAGCGACAGCGATGAAAAGTTGAAAATGTTTTAACTTTCTGGGATCGCGTTGCTGGGTCGCCTGTGCACGACACGTGCACGAGCGCAAAATTTCACACGCACGTTTTTCGCGTTTCGCTTAGTAGGAGAGAGACCCGCGATTATCGTTTTGTCGCGCATGTTTCATTGAAAATGAATGGAGGAGAGGCGATGTCGCCTCCCGTGTGGCAAGCCCATTACACTGTAATGGTCCTGGATGAACCACAAGTGTTGGTATCGGTCCGTAAAGCCTAGTTCAAGTCTAACTCTAAATATGTGACACTTCCAAATCCTCCATGATCAGATCTTGTTCCCTAACATCATTTCTACCCGAAAAGCACTGTTCTTCCTGGCATGAGCACTTTCCATTCGCATCAAACGCTGACCCAGCCCTAGAGCCCGATCTATGCGAGGCTGTGGGCTGGAGCGGGAGCACGGCGTTCCCTCTGATACGACGGGAGAAGGTTCTCTGACGCACAATGTCCACAGAGCACAGCTGGAATTTAAAGGCTGCCTGGAAGCCTCGACGAAAGTTCTCATTGAAGAAACCGTAAATGATGGGATTGACGCTGCTGTTGCAGAAGGCCAACCAGTGGGCAAACGGGTACACGTAGATATTAATGACTCGATGCTGATGCTCTGTCAAGCTGGCATAGTCGCTCAGCATCATCAGCGTCCACAGAGGCAGCCAAGACAAAACAAAAACCAGAGCCACCAACACAAGCATCATTATCACACGCTTCTTCTTCCTCGAGATGGTTTGGCGACTGTCCATGCTGAACTTGTGGCCACCGCCTTCCCTGTGTGCTGTCCCACTGCCCCATCCAGGAGGAAGAGTGGTCTTGAAGAGGGTGAAACCGATGCGCGCATACATGATGACAATGAGGCTGAGAGGAGCAAGGTAGATATTTGCAAAAAGCACAGTGGTGTAGATCTTCCGCATCTCCTGACTCGGCCAGTCCTCCCGACACCAGTAAAAGGGACGAGTGTTGCCGCTGGGACCAAGAACTATCCGTACGGTCTGCTCCTTTGTCACCTGGAGCATGACCCCAGAGGGACACATGATGAACACAGCCAGCACCCATATGACGACGATAATCAGCTTCGAGGTGGTGATGGTCAGCTTCTGCTTGAAAGGGTAGACAATGCAGCGGAACCTGAAACAAAGAAAGTTAAAAGAGGTGAAAGCAGTTAAATATACCTAATATACCAAACACACACAGAGACGTAGGTGACTGCATAATTACTCACCTGTCAACAGCTATTGCGACTAAGGTAAACACAGATGCTGATACAGATATCCCTTGAACCATCCCACTTAGCTTACACACAATGCTTCCAAAAGGCCATCCTGCAGAAATAAGAAACAACATTTCTGTTGCTGCCTGGGTATAAAATGACCAATGACCAAAAAGGGTAAAGCAAGCTGATGGTATAGTAACCAAACCTGTATTGTACATGTTAACTAACAGTAGGGTCTGATCATACTTGAGCAAAACTATTCATGAAGAGAGGAGAATTATAGCTGTTGGATGACTAGTGGGTGGAGGACAGGTGTGCTGCATGTGTCTGCAGACAATGGCAGATGGCAGGAACTACCTCAGAATACAAAAAAAACTAACTTCAGCATAAAACACCAAAACCCAACATCAGGACTCAATATCTAATGGCTACCTGTTATTATGTTGTCCACAAGCGTGGTTGGCATGCAGAATATTCCAACCAGCAGGTCGCTGATGGCAAGATTCAGAATGAACAGATTGGTGACGGTGCGCATGTTCCTGCTGCGTAGCAAGATAAAACATACCACCCCATTGCCCACCATGCACACCATGAAGATAAGCAGGTACGATGCTGTGAAAACAGCCGCCACGGCCGGCTCGTGGAGGTAGGAATCCACGTAGGTGATGTTCTGACGGGTGGAACGATCATCCTGATATTCCGAGGAGCTGGAGAAATTGCGGTCCTCCCAGGTAGAATTTAAAGGTAGATTCTCTGGCATTGTGATATCTGGGTGTTGGAGAGACAGATGCATTGAGTCAGGCAGCTGTGTTACACCTTGAATGGATATCTTTTTGTCTGACGTGTCAGCGCAGGTTTTCTGAACAGGTGAAATAAAAATCCTCAGAAAAAAAATCTGAAAACCGTGGCACACATCACCTCGGTGACTAGACGGCACAAGCCAAGCCTGTTGTATAAAAATACTCAGAGCCGATTGTTTATTCCAAATGTGCTGAAACACACACATGCTGTTCTAAACTCATTAAAGCAACAAAGCTTACAGGAGTCCGTTCTCGCCGCTTTCTCTCGCCTCCCACTCGTGCATCAATTAGACACTTTCTTTGTTTTTTATCCCTCAACCCTCATTTATGAAAGGCCGTAGAAACGTTTTCACAAATAATCATTGCATCATTGGATGCTTTTCAGGGCTTCACTGAGTGCAAATTATTACATTTAGGGAAAGATGTAGGAAACAGCACTGCCTTGTAATCAAGGCTGATTGACAGCAGAATGTGGCTTTCTGGGAAGAAATGACAGTTTCAGATTAAATGAGAGAAACTGTCACGCACGTTGTTTTATGAATGTCCTCTAGAAGTAAGCACAGCTGATCACTCGTCTGTATTGTGGCACTGCTTCTATATGATTCCCAGTATTTGCTGATATAAACAAGCCTAAGCAGACAGGTTTGTTCTACCTCACTTTAACATTTAGATATTATATCACATGTATTATCTGCATTTGTTCATCATCCTATTCTGTTTAGTAAATGAAAATAATAGAAAAGTCTTTAATTGTTAATAAATCAATTTGATATATAATGAAAGATAAAAATTTGTTGTTACTGAGACAATAGCACGAATATTTTCAACAATGTAGTTATGGAAAATAACAAAAATACATTCATACAAATAATAATAATATTAAGCATGTCCTTTTTCCACTCATCATGCTATCAAAATATAATAAAATATAACTGACAATGCAGTTTGGCCAACAAAGACGAACTATGCAGAAAAGTATAAAAAATAATTAAACTCCACATCCTTACCTTACAACACTTAGATTAGATTCTTCTCTTCTCGGTTTACAAATAATTAAAATCCATTTCACACTGGTTCAGATGAAAAAGCTGCACACTTTCATCCCACATGAAGTCCTGTGCGTTTGCTCAGCTCTCCTGCCAGGCAGCGGCTGCTGTAGCACTTATAGCTGACAGCGAGGAGACTAGATTCACTTGGGAGAGACGTGCAGGGGGGTGCACAGCTCGGGAGCATCACGTGTTCAGAGGTGTTATGTGAACTGAATATTACAACACTCTCGTTAATGAGGAGCAAAGGTTGGCCAGCTGAACACACTTAAACACCTGTTACTTCTATGAATGATGGGTGGTGGGTACGAATATTAACGTTTCCACCTCCTCGTGTATCACCTTGGCACCGATCAGATATCGAATGAGGTATCAGCTTTTAATTGTCACCATTTACACCAAAACTGCTTCGTTGTACAAAATGTGAGGTCTGAGTTGAGAAAATATGAAGCAAGTCCGGAACATTTATTATACAATTTTATACAATTCAACAGAAGGGTTTTTGAAAGCCTCCATTTTGGAACAGCTTTTCCTCAGTGGGGTCGTAGGGGAGTCGGTGCCTATCTTCAGCAATCAACAGACTCATTTCCACGATCAGAACTTCCAGGTAATTCTACCGAACCATGTCTCCATTTCACCAGGGCAGCCCAAAACGACCACTTTCCAGGCCGTTTCAGGGACGAGCCGAGTACCTGAACAGTACTTGGAAATGATCGGGTCTGCTGACTGGTTGTAACTCAGTAGGAAATCACATAGACAGACATTGGCAAAGCAGCCTTTGTTAAATTGGAAGAGTTGCTGATGAAGCAGAGCGTAAGGAAAATAAAATAAGCAGCGTTCATGCATTGCAACACAGAAAAATATGGCGGAAATCCCTCCACAACGCCATAATTCACGGTGCTTTGTGGTCTCAAAGAGTACTGTAAAAAATGACATTACTTCTGGTCATTGAATGCTGCGTTTCACATCGCCCAGTCTCTCTCCCCATCCTCCAGTAGGATTAAATTACTACATGCATTTACAGAATCAAACTTTTAATGTTAATTTTTGTGGACGCTTTTTTTGTCACTGATGCAACTCACTGCTGAAGCTGTCGTGAAATCCTGACGTCTGAAGTCCTCAAAGAGTCGATTTTGTACGTGTGACAGGGTGAGCGTCCTGTCACTGTATCCCGATTGATCATGCGCCCTGGCTACTTAGCCATGGGGATGTCCTTTTGGCTGAATGTTTAGTGTGTGTGAATCTCAGTCAGGAGTCCGGAGCTCGAATCCCGCCCGGGCCCTCGTTTCTCCACCATGCCACATATGGAGACAAAACTACTGAAAGGACAGAGCCACCATATCTCCAGGTCACCTTTCACCCTCCCACTAATTTCCCAGAAATAAATAGTCCCAGCTGGAAGTCCCAGCGTAAACCAGCACGGTTGGTCACCAGCATGTTATATTTTGGTGCTGCTGGTCTAGCGTGGGATGCTGGTGATAGCATGCTGGACCAGCTAAACCGGCACCAAAACACAACATATGCTGGTAACCAACCGTGCTAGTTTGTGCTGTTATTTCTTGTGCAGGGGTGGGGGGTCACGAGGCCAAACAAGATGCACACTAACACCTAAAGACAATCAACCCTAAAAAATAGTGAATGTCAGGGGCGTGTCCAGGGAGTGGCCTGGGGTAGCACATGCCACCCTTAGAATCTGATTGGCCACCCCAGGTGCCACCCTACTAAGTTCCAGTTTAAATTGACTTTACATTGTCGACAAAAGGCTTGAGTTGTAAACTCCAAAAATAGTGTGGTAGCATGCACCTTTAACATTGTCTTCTAGCCCAGGCCTACAGAACATTTCTGTAGTATTAATATTATTTATTATTTTTTCATATTCACATAAATAGTATTGAGTCCCACTCAACTCCAGTTGGTGGCAATAATGCAACAAGAAGTGATTTGCTAACCACCACAAAACTAGAAGATGAATAGAAAAAATGGTGATTGTGCAATGTGAAACTCCAAAATTCACTAGAAAGTAAATAAATAAGCGAATTGTGTGAATAAATAAATAAGCATAACCATTGGTGCCACCCATGCATAAACAAGTGCCCCACATGGGCCACCCCATTTTAAAAGTCCTGGACACGGCTCTGGTGAATGTTTATTTCCATTTACAGCCTTTGTACATTTACAAACCAAGAATAAACTGTGTAATCAAAACTGGAATGGGCTGAAGCCAAAGGTTTTGGTCTGTGGCAAGAAATTAGAGTACCTGGAGGAAACCCATGCATGCATGAGACTAGCTGAAGGCACCCGCCGCCCTCCATTACCTTCGGTTAGTTCAGTTGGCGCGTGGCTACGTCGACTAAGAAATTGGTGGGTTTCAATTGTCTGCCAACACCCTCACTGCTCCACTCTCAGCTCCATATTTGTATTTTCCAGGAATGACAATACACATGATGTGGCCAAGATGGAGATGGTGGAAACCACCTTGGGTTTCATTTCAGCCCTTCAGAAACCTGTGGGTGATGGCACGGAGGGTCCGTCCGTTACATAGACAGTAACAGTCACAAAGAAGAAGAGACGATTTTTTATACTGTATAGCGCCTCTCAAGGTAAAAATCACGAGGCGCTTCACAAAAACAAATCATTTCAAATTAAAAAATAAAGAAATTTAAAAGATAAAACATGATAAAAGACCGTGAAAAATGCAAGGAAGGGAAAAATAAAATGAATAAGAGAATGGTAACCAGTAGATCCTGGGAAAGGCAGAAAGAGCAGAATGAAGGGAAGGTCGTGATGAAGAATCAACAGAAGGTCACACCAAAGTCAGCCTGGTGAGTTTTCAGCTGCTTTTTAAAGGAGACCACTGAGTCCACTGATCTCAGGCTCAGGGGGAGAGAGGTCCAGAGTCTGGGGACCACAGCAGCAGATGATCTGTCACCTTTGGTCTTTAGCCTGGTGCTGCACAACCAGTAGGCTTTGGTCACTGGACCGCAGGGACCTGCTGGGGGTGTGGGGACTGAGAAGATCACCAATGTAAGATGGTGCTTGTCCATGTAAGGCCCTATAGACCAGAACCAGGATCTTGAAATGAACCCTGAAGTTGACTGGCAGCCAGTGAAGCAGGAGGAGAAGCGGGTGATGTGGGTGTGATTAGACAACCTGCAAACGGTTCAGGGAGGTTTTACTCAGACTAGTGAAGCGAGTTGCAGTAGTCTAAGTGTGAGGAGATGAAGGTGTGGAAAACAGTCTCAAGTTCAGAGCGGGACAGATTGAGACTCAGCTTACAATAATAAATCGGTAATAACTCACAAGGCTCCTTGTTAAATGGTTCATTAAGTATAATTGAAAACTTCACTGGGGTTATAAGTTGGAAGGATTGTTTTCTATAGGTCAGATGACGCAGACAATGCCTGACTTCTGTTTTCATACAGTTTCACAAAGCTTATCAGATATGCAGGAACACCGGCCTCACCAGCAAAAGGAGCAGACTGACCAGATGATGTGATCCGAGTCTGTCTTACAGTTCAGCTGTACCTAGAGAAGATGTGTCACTGGGTTGAAAAGGGCAATGAGAGGAGGAGATGTAGAAGTGGGTGGAAGATAATACCAAACTAATGAGCGTTGCACCCAGGGGGGATCATCTGCAATGATTTGAAATTTATATGATGACTGCCGGGTGAGCCTATTTCTTTTAAATTGTAGCGTCAGGGTGTGTGTGTGTGTGTGTGTGTGTGTGTGTGTGTGTGTGTGTGTGTGTGTGTGTGTGTGTGTGTGTGTGTGTGTGTGTGTGTGTGTGTGTGTGTCAGCCATTATTTGTTACTTTTACACCATTATGACACTCAGGTTGCCACAGGATTTTACTGTGTGAGGAAAAAAGCCACGTTGTTTCCCCTCCGCTCAAGACATTTTATTATGGGTCTCTCTCCTGCTGCTGCAGCCCTTTTAACACGATGTGCCTCTCACACGCCTTCGAACAAAGGATTATTGATGAGCAGACACTCAACACAGAGGGCAGCGGATTAAGCAAATATAAAATGGTTTTATATCTATTCTGAAACTGCCATGAACAAACCAACAAACTACATCTAATGGAGAGAAACCAGTCATTTGGAGAAAAGTGTGTCCTTGCCGAACTGCCAGTAATGCCCTGAGGAAAAACTCACTAATGGCTCCTGTGGACAGAGAAATGACACACTGAGCTCAGTCTAAGCATCAGTCACTGGTCAGTGTGCTGAACCTTGGAGACCGTGTCACAGGAGGGATGGACAGGGTGCCAAGTCAGTTTAAAGCTGTTAGGATTAAAGGCTGCTCAGTAAAATCACATGGTTTCCTCTTCACCCCGAAGCACAGACTTTCTCAAACATCAATACCATTCATATTTACTGTGAAAATAAATATGTCTGTAAACTTTGGCAGACATTAAAATGTATTCAATATTCCAGTTTAATATAATTTATGGGTTGTTGTTTTTTTACATTGTTTAGCAGCATCGTGACCACAGGAACTATAGGTGCCCACGGGCCTTTTCTCTAATAGTACAAAGTTACAATAAACAAAAATAATCCACCTGCCATCCTTTTAATCACAAATGCATTAATAGATTTAAAAAAGCTGAAATATTCTTTAAAAACAACAAATTATGATTATTATACATAAAGTTTAGTTAAACTCAGATCTATTCCAGTTCAAAGGTCAGTAATGTAGCAACGTGCTGGCCCTCATGGCTGAGTACCAATGAAGTAGGTCTTCATAAAGGTTGGTGACCCCTGGCTTAGAGCATAATGCATAAAAAATAGCAAAACACACTGTAAAACAAAACATTATGGATTTTCACAGGTATTTAACCAAGATGTGTGTTTGCTTAATTATTTTAAGATAAAAATGTTTCTTTAACAAACAAAAAAATCTCAGTAATGTGCAGCCAGGACCTTGTTTATGACTCAACCTTCATTTATACAGCACCTTACAGGCATGAAACATGCCACCTAAGTGCTGTATACTAATAAAATAAAACCGATAAAGCCAACAGAAACAAGTAAAACCAACAAAATAAAAATTAGAGTAAGGTCATTTAAAATATCAGCAGC